TAATCTCAGTTAGCCAGTTCCTAAAAGAGATGGCTATTCTTGGTACCACAGCGAGAGTTTTCATTTACATCTACTCTTATTAATAGTAGGTTATTTATTATTATTATTATTAATTTGCCATTGGGTGTATGCATTCACCAAAGAGACAGAGAAAATGAGAAAGCATCCTCCATGGGGTGCAGTCATGCCCCCGTCTCTTCTCCATTTCTCTTTAGGATTTTGGGCATGCATACACGTGCGACCAGTGTGTTCCTCAAGCCGTGAGGCCCAGGACTCAGACCACACAGTCAGCCGTACAGTGATTCTCTGATGGAGCTGGGCAAAATAAACCACTCTAGACACTGTTAAGAATATTTAAGATCGTTGGCCTGGCCTTTGTGGGAGGTGCCCTCCATGCTGTGGCAGGCTGGCTGGACTTAGCGGATACTTCCCGTCTCCAAGTGGGACCCAGCGGTCCTAACCACCATGCCACCAGCTAGCCCAGCAGTATTTACACTTCAAGTTGTGTAACTATTCTTAGAAGCATTTACATAGTAAGATAAATACATGATTATATCAATAGAAATTATTCATCCTGCACCACTCCAAACTATCTTGCATACTATACACACCAAAGAGTCCCTAGGGCATACTTGGGGACATGCATGCAGGAAATCCAGTGGTCCATTGTTTCACCTTTCCAGAGTCCCTGAAACAGTCTTGGGGCTCCCTGATCCCTAATATTTAAATTAGGCCAACTGGGGCCAGCAGGTGGTATAGTGGTCATGGTTTGAGTCCCAGACCCATTGTTTTGAAATATGTGAGGCATGTGCCTGTGTGCCCGCAATCTCTAGAGAAGGGATTGCAGCGTGGCCATTCCTTTTGGCGGGGGGTGGGGGTGGGGGTGTGTCTCACTTTCTCATTCTCTGTCTTTGGAGAATGCATGCACCCTATAGCATAAATATCTCTCCCCAAAAAAGAATGAAATAAATTAGGCCAACTAAGTACCTACAGTGGCTACTGAGTGAACACTGACCAGCTAAAACATCCCCTCGAGCCTGATCAAGACCAAGGCCCTAACTCTTCAATTCTATTGAGGCTGAGAGGGGTGAGGAAGCTGCCGGCGAAAAGTCTGAAGCCAGCAGAGGCTGGTTTTTGAGGCTTAAGGAAAGAAGTGCAAGGTGAAGCAGCAAGAGCTGATGTGGGAGCTGCAGTAGCTTCCAGAAGTCTAGCTAAGCTCACTGATGTGGGAGCTGCAGTAACTGCAGACCCTCAGTATAGACAAGTCTTATGTTGGAGGATGATGTCATCTAGGATTTTCATGCCTGGAGAGCACAACTGATGCCTGGCTTCAAAGCTCAGAGTCAGACTCCTGGACTCCAGCTAGAGCTAATGCAGATGGCGACTTTAAGCTGGAGCCAGCGCTCATCTACTACTCCAAAGTCCTAGGCCCTGGGGAACGTGCGCCATCTGCTTGGCCTGTGCTGCATAATCAGCACAAGGCCCGATGACAGCACATTTATATCATGGCCTGCGGAATGTTTTCAACCTGAGACCTACTACCAGAAGATTCTTTTCAAAATACTACTCTTCATTGATGGTCTTTTTTATTTTTTAGAGAGATTTTCACTATAGGGCGCGTGCGCTCGCCAGACAGAGAGAGACATAGAGACAGAAAGCGAGAAATCACCCCCCAGGGGGGATGGTCACGCCGCAATCCCTTCTCCTCCATTCTCCTCTCAGGATCTTGGACACGCACGCACACGCGCCTGGCGTGAGTTTAAGCCACCGGGTCCGGGATGCGAACCGCGGTCAGCTATGTGGGAGTCCAGCGACACAGCCATTACGCTAACTGCTGGTTCCCAACTCTTCACTGATGTTGAAACCAGGTCCTCTGATGGCATCATCTCAGGAGATTCATGTTGTCACGCCTCCACATACATTCATTCTGCAGCCTGCAGATCAAGGAATGATTTTACTTCCAAGTGTCTCTCTCTCTCTTTTTTTTTTTCCGGAAGAATTATTTTATTAATTTATTTTAAAATACTTGACCAGAGACTCTCTTTCCCCTCCCTCTCTTTGTGGTGAGCACACATGCCCTATAGCAAATTTAAAAAAATAATCACAATACATTGCTACTATCTTTGCTTTGGAAAATCAACTATTTTTTTTATTTTTGTTTTTAATTTTTTGCCATAGGGCATGTCCACTTGCTGGACAGAGAGGAAAAGTGAGAAAGAACCACCAGGGGGAATGGTTGTGCTGCAATCCTCTCTCTTCTATTCTCCTTCCAGAATTTTGGGCAAATATACACATGCTCCAGGTGTTTTTCAAGGCACCAGGTCCAGGTCGCCAACCATGTGGGATCCAGCACCTTAACCTCCACATCACCTGCTGGCCCAGCATTGCGGGATGGCTTCTGCAATAATACCCAGGTTCTCAGTGTTCAAGACAAAGAATTGAATGAAACAGAACAGTAATGAAAGGGTAGTTTATTAAGTAAAAGCAAAAGTACACTCCTGAGAGGTCGGAGTGGGCCTGAGTGTATAGAGAAAGAGGGGGCCAGCAGATGGCATAGCGCTTATGTCACTGGACTCCCTCATGGCCGACTGTAGTTCCCGTCCCAAACCCAGTGATTTGAAACTCATGCTGGGCATGTGTGTGTGTGTGTGTGTGTGTGTGTGTGTGTGTGCCCAAGGTCCCAGGAGGAGAATGGAGAAGGGACTGCTACTTGGCCATCCCCCTGGAGGATGATTTCTCACCTTTCCTGTCTCTGTCTCTCTAGTGAGTGTGTGCACCCTATGGTGAGACCTCTTTAAAAAGAAACAAGAGTGGCTCTAAAGGTCATGGCAGTTACATTCTATGAGGCTTATAAAAATTTTTTACAGGGATTTTTTACCTTGGGGCACGTGTGTTCGAGGTGGGGGGAAGGGAGGGAGAAATCACTCCCCAGGGAAAATAACCATGCCACAGTCCCTTCTCCATTCTCCTCCTGGGATCTTGGGCAAGTACACACACGCCTAGTATGATTTTCAAGCCACCAGGTCTGGGACTTGAACCTTGGTCAGCCATGTAGGAGTCCAGTAACATAACCACCACGCCATCTGCTGGCCCAGGTTTAGAAATGTTTACTCTAGGACATGTCAGTTGAGTACTGAGTGGGCTTATTGATCATTTTCCTCTCACTGGTTCTATCAAATGTGGCTTAATCAGCTACACATCCCCCACTAATCTCCTGCCTCCATCACCTTGGGAGGGGAATTCTTTGCCCTGACTGGTTTCTCTGCGTAGTGCTGTAGGGAGATGCTCTAATCCCTTTACCCACTTCCATTCGATAGCTTTTTCCTGCCTCACCAGCAAGTCAATTATCTTTGTGATTGAAAATAAGAACAATGTCTTTTATATTTACCTTCATTTCCTGAGGCCTTCATTATTTGTGTAGATTCAGGTTTCCATCTCACATTGGATTCCTTCCATGTGAAGAACTTCCTTTAACATATCCTACCGGTCTGCTAGTGATGAATTTTTATAGTTTTTTTGTTTTGAAAGTCTTCCTCTTTCATTTTTGTTAGTTATTTCTCCTGGGTATGGTATTTGGGTTTTAGTATTTAAGGCAGTCATTCCATTGTCTTCCAACTTGCATAGTTCTGAACAAGACATCTGCAGTGACTCCTACTCCTTCTTCTGAAATGTGTGCCTTTGAAGTTTAAGAATTATTTATGTACTTATTTTGATCAGAGAGGGACAGAGCGAGAAAGAGGGAAAGTGAGAAAGCCGCCAGGTCTGGGACTTGAACTGTGGCTAGCCATGTGGGAATCCAGCACCCTCAACTGCCATGCCACCTGCTGGCACCTAAAGTTTTCTTTTTATCTTACTTTCTCAGCAGTCTGAACACTATGTGCTAGAAGGGTTTTTCCTGGCTAGTTTTGGATCTGTTTTCTTTCCTCTCTTCTGCTTTGGTCACCCAGGCGACATCCACCAGGGCACTTGCCTGTGCTGTTTGTCTCCTTTGCTTAGACGCATTACCCCCCAACCTGCTAAACGCTGCTCCTTCAGCCAGGCACCCTAGCTGCTCCACAAGGTCTCTGGCATGCTGTAAATGTCCGTCCCCATGTTACTCGCAGGTCATGTGAATACTGAGTTAAAAGTTTCTCTCCTTTCCCTGATAATCTATAAATCCTTGAGGGCAAAAGCCTGGCCCATTTGCTCACAACTAAATTCCCAGTAAGATACTGTGTGGTTTTGGTAGTCATAAAGTGCTATGGTTTGCATGTGTCTCCCCAAAATTCATGTGGGGGAATTTGGTTGTATTGTGAAGGCATTAAGAGACAAGGCCAGCCTATGGTGTGGTGGTTAGATATCTGGATCCCACATGGCCAACTGTGTGGTTTGGGTCCTAAAACCGGCAGCTTAACATGCTAGGCATGTGTGTATGCATGCCCAAAATCCCCAAAGGGAAAGGCGAAGGGATCATGGCATGACAACGCCCCATGGAGGGTGCTTTCTCACTCACTCTCTCCGGCCAGCACACAAGATCTCAGGCAAATAAGAGACCATCTAATTATGATGTTAAAAGGTGGGCTTAGGAAAGTGGGCATCAGGGTGGGCTTCCATAAGCAAGGTGGATGAATGGACATTCTCTGCTGGAGCTCCTGCCCTCCACCAAATTACCAACCAAGCTGAAGACTACCAGGTGCAGTCACTGGACCTTGGACTTCCAAGGAGTTGCAGTACAGCCACGAGCAGAATAAACCTCTTTTTACAAATTACCCAGACTCGGGTTTTTCTGTTACTAGCAAGAGAACAGACTAGAAGACAAGTTAAGTGACTTGTCTAAGTAGACAGTCGTTTAGTCACTAAACCTTTATCATGGGCCAGCACTATTAGGTGCTATGGATGGAGTCTGAGACCAGGACTAGCCCTCCCCTTCAGATATGGCTCCTTCTTTTCCTTGCTCCAGTAACAGTAGCAGTGCCCCTCCGGTCACCTCCGATCCTCTATGCCATCTTCTATCCAGCACATTCTGGTGACTGAGCCTCCGCCACCTGCACTGCAGCAGTTACGACAGGGGAAGACAGCACGAGGACACGTGCACTGGCTCTTGGGGTTCCTGCTGTGGTACAAATGGGAGGATGTTGCCATGTGGTGGCTGAGGCCACACGAGAGGCCTGGGTTTGGCTCCCAGACCAAACAGAGCAGGCTGGGTTGTGGAGGCTGGGGCAAGAGGACTGCAATGTGGGGAGGCAAAAAAAAAAAAAAAAAAGAAAAACATTAATTAAAAAAAAAACATTATGGGAACCAGCAGTTAGCGTAATGGCTATGTCACTGGACTCCCACGTAGTCAACCGTGGTTCGCATCTCGGATCCGGTGGCTTAAAACTCACATCGGGCACATGTGCATGTGTGCCCAAGATCCCAAGAGGAGAATGGAGGAGAAGGGATTGCGGTGTGACCATCCCCCCTGGGGGTGATTTCTTGCTTTCTTTCTCTATGTCTCTCTCTGTCTGTCTGGCGAGAGCATGCACCCTATAGCGAAAACCTCTCCCCCCCCCAAAAAAAAATTTTTTTAAACCAACTTCTCTCTCCTTCATGTGCTTGCTCATTCACTCTTTTCTCATTAAGAGATGAGTTTCATTCATCATAGCCAGAGGGCTGAATAAGCTGGGCAGAGTGGCTCGGTTTGCATGCGGACACCTGGAGCACTGGCCCTCCAGTGCCTGTGACCAGATGACTGAAGACGACCCCAGATGTTCCACGTGCAGAGGACAGCTGCATGACACTCCACTCGGGCCCCGAAGGACCATGACCAAGCAAAGTCTTCCCAGGGAATGGATGCTGGAGCAGGACATCTGGACACCCACTTCATCTGGGATGAGTTAGGCCCAAAGGACACTGACGTGCGGGGAGCTGCTGAGCTCGGTGGATGGGCCAGGACTTGGGGGGAATAAGACTGAGATGAGCAACAAGACCTGAGCGGGGACAGACCTCGCATGATGGGCGGACTGTGGAGAGCTGCACCTGAGGGATGCCAACCAGGCCCCTGCAGGGTGCAGCACTCCCTGAGATGATGTCAGCATCGTCCCTGGCCAGCACACTTGCTCAAATGCCTGTGAGCCAAGGGGCCACCAGACGGGGCTGGAGACCAGCACAGGCTCAGCAGCCTGCCCTTGCCCTCTCCAAGGCCGACAAGGCTGACGCGACCGCTCAATACCCAGTTTGCCGAGACTCACACTAGTCCTAGGGTGGCATCCCATCCCAGGACCAGTTGGCCACCTGCTGGCAGGATGTTCTCGCTGGGCCTCCCCCTCAGAGGGGTCTGAGCTTGGTTTCCACTAGATTAAACCCACACCCTGGCTATGGGCCTGCCCACCCTGCCCGCACACCAGCACCCATCACCAGGGCTGTGCACCTGTTCACAGGAGTGCCCCACAGAGATGGCTTCATGCCCGTGGGAGCGCGCTGTGCCGTCACCTGCCACGACAGGTCTGGATGCAGGGCCTCACCATGCCGAAGCTACGGCGCCTCAGAGGCTGGAGGCTGCACCTGGACCCAGAAGACTGACCCAGTGCTGCCCCCACCAGAGTTCCCAGGTCACTCCACGGCTCGCCCTCACACCCCTTCATTCCTGTCCTGGAAAATCTGAGCTTTGAGGGTTTAAAGGCCTTAGATCCCAGAGGTCAATCTTCTTCCCCAGGGGGCACATTGCAGAGGACAAGGACCTTCCAGAACCAGGGGTCGTTCTCTGGTGCTGCTTGGTATTTCCATGTGAAGGGAAAAACTTGCCGCCAAGGTTTGCAACTAGAGCATCTGAGAAAGGAGGGGGGACAGAGCTGTACAGAACTCAGACACTTAACGCAGGAAGGCCTCAGCCCTCCAGCGACAGCCTGGCCAACTGAGGTGGTGGCAAATCTAGAAGGCCAGCAGCAGCCTCAACAACAGTCACAGAGCTGGGGACCCCAGCAGGCCCCGCTCGCTGTGCATCGCTGCGTGCCCATGTAGCCCCCCCCACCCCACCCCCATAAGGGGCTGCACCGCAATGGCAACCCCAGGCCATGGTCCAAACGGCCAAGACTCCCACACGCCAAGGCCCTGGAGTCTCACACTGAGCACGCAGGTCCACAGTTCTCCGAGTTTCTGCCCTCATCTCGACACTGGGAGGGAGGTTAAAGTGCACCAACTGAAAACAGGAAGAAATGCAAGCCTGACACCCCACCCCCTGGAGGTCTCAAGGAGGCATGACCTAAGATGGGGTGTCGGGCTTGAGTGTCACTGTTGCAGTGGAGGGAGGGGTGCCTGGGAGGCCAGGCTGTGTGTACCTATGGCCACACCCCCGGCCACCCCCAGAATGCCCTCTTGAGCCAGGAAGGGGAGACTGGGTGTTTTCGAATACAACGCAGCTTTATTATGACACAGAAAAGGCAACTACAAGCCACTGGGGAGGAGGGCCGGCCGACCGGCTCCCGGACCACGGGGAGAGGAAGGTGTGAACATCGTGGGAATGAAACCTCCAACACAGCACAATCATTGGAATTACTTTCTTACACTGTTTTCTCGAAGTTAGAGTAAACAAAAGTCACTGGACTGCCAGAAGAACAGCAATGCACACCATGAGGAGCACGCACGTCGAGCTGGACGGCAGCTGGCTATGGTGAGGTGCAGCGGCACGGGGTGTCTGGGGCTCGGACGGTGCCTATGGGGACGACAGCCAGGCCCAGCCCTGCAGCCAGGCCCCAGGCCTGCAGGGCACAGAGAGGTGTCCACGCAATGGCGGGCACTCCAGGCCTCAGTGTGTCCCACAGCTCAAGACACGCTCTCCAGACGTCTAAGAGGGTGCGCCCACGTCTCGGTGCAGGGCTGGAAGGACAACCAATGTCCCAGAGACACGAGCAACAGTGACTGTCCTGGCAGGAATGTGTTGGGGGCTGCCCCGTGAGTCCCTCAGTGGTATGATGGACGTGTGACCTTCTGAACACCCACATGCTGGTTACCAGCACCAGGGCCAAGAGACTCCCAAACCCGCCAGGGGATACTCTGCTCCTAACAAAGTGAATCCACGTGGCCACATCAGGTGTGGACAGACTCTTAGCGACACAGGTACAGAGGGCAACAGCCAGGGCAGCCCCTGCCTCGGGGAGGTTCTCCAGCACTGCGTGGGGACCCTCGGCAGGACCGAGGTGGGCACTCTGAGCACCAACCGCAGTTGAAGGGAATTTTGGAACAACGTGTAAAATAAGAGCTTCAGACAGCAAAGGTGGGGCTGGCCCTCGAGTCCTGTTCTAGGGGTGGCTATTGCCCCAGCACACAAGCAGAGACAGGAAGGAAGCCAGGAAGGACTGCGCGGCTCAGCTCCCACGGGCCACTGCAGTCGGCTTCCCTTTCAGTCATATCTGTTCCTGATTAAAGGACGACGCCTCTCCCCTAAACAGGTCTTCACAGCAGAATCAGAGTGGCCACCCGGGGGCATTTCCAAAAACTGAGTCCAGCTGCCTTCTCTGAAGATGCTTGCTATTTTAAGGCATGCTTCAACTTGCATTCTTTAAATGCAGAAATAACAACAGGAAAGGAAGCAGGCGAGCCGTTACCGCTCAGGCTTCCATCACACGCCAGTGCCCGTTAGGTTTTCTCCTGGCGCTGGTCCCGCCTGTGCTCACGTGGCCTGTCCACAGAACAGCGTTCACAGTTTTACATAAGCTTTAGAAAACAGTCAGGAATTCTCAACGTGACTATCACACACAATTCGAGCACCAGCACCCACGAGTAAGGCGGTGCTGGGGCCTGGCCACACCTGCCTGTGCCTCCTGCAGAGAAGACCACGCAGCCCAGAGCCACTCTTTCACTCCCTGGCTCTGTGAGAACACTGCCGACCCGGAAACGAAGGCCCTGCGGCCCAGGCACAGACAGCTCCGGCCAGGCACCAAGGGCCTGCTCACTAAGCGTACTGAACGCCGTCTCCTCCCCCAGTCCTCGGTTCTGAGTGAGACTGAGCAGATACATGCAAAATATCTTACAGGGAACAATGCCGTCCCACTGCCTCCATCCGCGCCGCCAGCAGGCCCAGTCACAAACCACTCCTGCCACCCTGGAGCTGTGCCTTGGAGAAGCAGACGCCCAGACGCTGCCCACTCACTGCCAGGCAGCGGCGCACAGGCAATGGGGACAGGAGACCCAGAGGAAAATAGGAGGCAGGGGATGAACAAAACCACTGAGCAATGCTCTGTTCTACAGCAGCAGAGTGACAGCCAGCAGTGGCCGCCTGTCCCCCTCTGGGTCTCCCTGCTGCTCTCCATCAGGGGCTTCCAGAGGAGGCTGGGCAGCATGCAGTGGGGACACAGTGAAAACAGCACCAATCAAAAAGCAAGATTCACTTGAGAATAAAAGAGAAACTACCTAAATTTCAGTATAAAGTCAGTAATTCGCTCACTTTTACCGTTACACACTTATGAAATTCACCACTGTGGAAAAAGAGAACAGGGGAGGGGTAAGAAAAGGCCTACTTCTAGAAAACCAAGAGAAGCCATCTGGCCGGTGCTTCTGCACGCGGCTGGAGCTGGGACCCTCAGCTCTGCCTGCAGGCTGCTGCGGGAGGGAGGCCAGGGGCTGCGCTCCACGCACCGAGTGCTAAGGGACAGAGAGCGAGAGCACGCACGCCCGTGCTCTGTCCTTGGCAGCTACCTCGACCTTACTGTCTCAAGAGACCCACCGCTTAGGAACAGGTGGGCGCCTCTGTCAGAGCCGTGGAAAGGGTGACCGGAGCAGGGGACGTCCCACGCCCCAGCCCCCACGCCTTTCCAAAACGCGCAGGAGATGTGGTGATGGACCTCGCTGTCCTCTGTGCACAGAACACAACCCCTGGTCATGTTCCAGAGCCCCCTCCCGCCTGCTGTGCTGTGGGCGTGTGCGTCTGAGGCCCTGGGCCATGGGCGCCACAGCCTCCCGGTGCAGAGCCCACAGCGAGCCAGGGGTGGGGCGGTTGAGTCCAGGGGTCATCTCGTGAGGCTTGCCAACTCGCCGCTGCCAGGGTTGAGACTACTCGTACTCCAGGAATTGCTTGTGATAGAACAGCAAGTACCTGCAGGGGAGGGGGGCTGCTCAGCTCTGATCCCGAGACCTGGCACGGCCATCGGCCCTGCCCACCTGGCTGCCTGGAGGCTCATGTCCGGGTCGGAAAGTTTCCCTGAGATCTCTTCACTGGCCAGGTGGGCACTGCCTGCCCTGCTGCCACAGCAACAGGTTCCAGCCTGTCATGCCTCACTGTCACTGGGCTGCCCCTTAACACCCTGACTGCAATGTAAAACCTCCCCAGGGCCCTCCCACACCTCAGGACACACAGTCCACGCCCTTGAGGGGCTCAGGTGGTAGGTTCCGGCTTGTCTGGGCCTCGACATCCTACCACCAGGCTGAGAACTTAGTGAAGCTGAAGTGAATGATGAGGTCCTTTTGTCCCTGGAGGGCCAGGGATTTTTGTGCCATGAAGGAAACAGGCAGAGAGGAGCCACTAAGGGACTCCACATTAGTTCATGTCACAGTGGACCTGGACAAGTGCTGCCATGTACTGTGCCTCTAAAGGCTGCGGCAGGGTGCCCTTGGTCAGGGACAGTCCCATGGCCACCAAGGCTGGCATTCCACCCAGAGCACACCCCACCCACCAGCACATAGCTAAAAGCGAGCATCCTCAGACAGTCCTAGGCACAGACTCGGGTACCAGAGTGGCTTCCCAGGGCTACCCTCCCCCGCGGACGCACCCTTCGCTGTCCAGCACGTCCTTGATGCTGGCCTTGGTGATGATGGCATCGTCGCACTTGAACCACTGGTCTTTGTGCTGCCGGATGAAGCTGGTGTAGTGGCCGCTCTCCAGAGTCCCCTGATGGTTCACGACCGCAAACAAGGAGTACCTGACACGGGCAGGAAGGGGTGGAGAGTGGCCCACTCCTCATTACCACCACTAGGCACCGCACGGCAAGCAAGGAAGGGGCGGCTGCTGCTTGACTCTGACCCTCAGCAACCAGAGCTGCCACCCTGCCGGCCACGGGGGAGGGAGTACGGGTCTACTGCTCTCAGCTCTGGCCCAAGGCCAGCTGCCCCCTGGGAGCTCCCCATGTTCAGTGGAACAGGGGTTGCTCTCTGCAGTGGAGATGGGGCACCACTCCATCCTATCATTCTTCCCACAACTCCAGGGGAAGAACAAACTGCAGGAGAGCAGCGCTCTGGTGACGTGCAGGAAGATGGAACCAGGATTTCTAGACGGAGCCTCACTCAGGGCACAGACAGGAGACCAGATCCTCCCACAGAAGGGAGCATGTGCCACAAAACAGCTATGCAGTCCTCTCTGCGTACTACAGTGTCCACCCAGGGCTGCCCTCAGCCCATGGACACACCCTTCCGAGGACAGCAAAGTGGGCAGCCAGACAGTAGAACAAAGGCCTTTCCTATGCTGCTCCATGGGCACTGTCCCGAGACACGGTGCTTCCACAAGGTGCTAGGAGGCCCTGCTCACCTGACCCAGGGTACACAGGCAACAAGGTACCACTTACTTGTTATCGCTGTTGAGACTGTCCGTGGGCTGCTGGTACTGTCCATTCATCCTGCTCTCTTTGCTGCAACACAGAACAGCAATACTCCACGTCATTGAAGAGAATTAACCAGGATGAGGTGGTGCAACCAGACTCATGCAGGAAGGGGCCCGCATTTAGGGTTCCAAGGCTTCCTTGAATATACCAAGAGTGTGTATACATGCTCATGGTCTGAGCCACATGGTACAAAGGATAGATCATGGTATGGAGACCCTAATGGGAATATCTCTCTCTCTCATGAAGAAGTTCAGAATTTTTTTTTTTTTTTTTAATTTTCTAAAGGGCTTAAGAACCTGCCAAAGTAAGACAGAAAGACAGTGAGAAAGCACCCCTGGGAAGATAGCCACGCTGCAAGTCCTTCTCCTGCACTCTCAAGATTTTGGGCGTGGGTGTCCATGTGCCTGGTATGCTTTTTTTTTTTTTAAGTTTATATTCAATTTAATTCATTACTATTGTTTTGTTTTGCTTTTGACTGGAGAGACAAGAGGGAGAGAGACAGAATGTGAGAAAGTAAGCTGCCAGGTCCAAGACTCAAACAGTGGTCAGCCACGTGGGAGTCCAGCACCCTAACCACTGTACCACCTGCCAGCCCCTTGTCTGGTACGTTTTTTGAGTTGCTGGGTCTGGAATTCAAACTGCGTAGTTGGCTGTTGTGGGTCAGTTGCCAGAACCAGCAAGCCACTGGCTGGGCCAGACAAAAGGACACCTAGCA